AAAGCAGACAACACTGTAATGAGAATTAATACTTATTTATATTATAATAGTTACCTTATTTTGTTGACGCGGGCAGCCCAGATCCATGGGGCAGCCTCGCTCCGGTCCGGTTTTCAAAAGACAGAGGAGTGTCTGCCGCTGCTCTGAACCTGATTGGCTGTTAGGTCAACACAGTGATGTGTAGCTCTTGTGACGGTCTAAAGGGCTCGACACACGGGAGGCGACAAATGAGAGCGATCAGCGAAACTCAACGCTGTCGCTCAGATAACATGACAGACGGGGCGCGATGCGGCTTGACGACAGCGTCGAAAAGTTGAGCCGATTTCAACTTTCTGGGATCGCGTCGCTGACCCGCGCGTGCACGATACATGCACGAGCGGGAGGATTTCACACGCACGTTTTTCGCCCGTCGCTGAGCAGGAGGCTCGCTAGCGATTGACGCTATGTCGCGCACGTCCCATTGAAATGAATGGAGGCGATGCGATGTCGCCTCCCGTGTGTCTAGCCCATAAAGGGCTCGACACACGGGAGGCGACAAATGAGAGCGATCAGCGAAACTCAACGCTGTCGCTCAGATAACATGACAGACGGGGCGCGATGCGGCTTGACGACAGCGTCGAAAAGTTGAGCCGATTTCAACTTTCTGGGATCGCGTCGCTGACCTGCGCGTGCACGATACATGCACGAGCAGGAGGATTTCACACGCACGTTTTTCGCCCGTCGCTGAGCAGGAGGCTCGCTAGCGATTGATGCTATGTCGCGCACGTCCCATTGAAATGAATGGAGGCGATGCGATGTCGCCTCCCGTGTGTCTAGCCCATAATGGGCTCGGACACACGGGAGGCGACAAATGAGAGCGATCAGCGAAACTCAACGCTGTCGCTCAGATAACATGACAGACGGGGCGCGATGCGGCTTGACGACAGCGTCGAAAAGTTGAGCCGATTTCAACTTTCTGGGATCGCGTCGCTGACCTGCGCGTGCACGATACATGCACGAGCAGGAGGATTTCACACGCACGTTTTTCGCCCGTCGCTGAGCAGGAGGCTCGCTAGCGATTGACGCTATGTCGCGCACGTCCCATTGAAATGAATGGAGGCGATGCGATGTCGCCTCCCGTGTGTCTAGCCCTTAAGTCGCTGGAAGAGCTAAAGCGGACTTAGCCTGCCACCTTGTGGCGATAAGATGTACTATTTTTCACGCAGCTGCGTGATTCCCGAGAAGCGTGAATGAAGACGACAAAACGGAATGGGACCTACTGTATGTGCTCCCTCCTTTTGGTACCTGTTAAGATCCTAGCTGCTGTATTCTGAACGAGCTGGAAGCTCTTCAAAGACGCTTTAGGGCACGCTGCCAATAAAGCGTTACAGTAGTCGAGCCTTGAGGTGACAAACGCGTGAATGAGTTTTTCCGCGTCACTTTTAGGAAGGAAATTCCTAATTTTAGCGATGTTCCGTAGGTGGAAGTACGCCGTTTTAGTTGCTTGGCTTATATAAGCCTTGAAGGAGAGTTCTTGGTCAAAAATGACTCCAAGATTCCTCACAGTGTTACTGGGTATAATACTGACATTATCGAGAGTAATTATCTGGTTAGTGAGGGAGTCACGCAGGCGCTTCGGACCGAGTAGGATCACTTCTGTCTTCTCCGGGTTGAGAAGTAGGAAGTTAAGAGTCATCCACATTTTAAGGTCCTTTATGCAGGCACTGAGCTTTTCCAGCTGATCTGTCTGGTTTGGCTTCATCGACAGATAAAGCTGTGTGTCATCTGCATAGCAGTGGAAATTAATTCCATGCTTTTTAATAATGTTTCCTAATGGCAGCATGTAGAGAGTAAAAAGAATCGGTCCGAGTACCGAACCCTGCGGCACACCGAATTCTACTCCAGAATAAGGTGACGAGTTCTGATTTACGTTGACGAAGTGATACCGATCTGATAAATAGGATTTAAACCAGCCAAGGGCTGTTCCTCTAAGACCTATATCACATTCTAGCCTCTGCAGTAGAATGCTGTGGTCTATTGTGTCAAATGCAGCACTAAGGTCCAGTAGGACCAGCACTGACACTTGTCCATTATCAGCAGCTAGTAGTAAGTCATTTGTGACTTTGACTAGTGCCGTTTCAGTGCTATGATGAGCTCTGAATCCTGATTGAAAGACTTCAAACATATTATTTTCCTGCAGGTGGCAGCGAAGCTGCTCAGCTATAAGTTTTTCCAGGATTTTAGATATAAAAGTGAGGTTTGAGATCGGCCTGTAGTTTGTAAGTATTTCTGGGTCCAGGTTTGTTTTCTTCAGAAGGGGTTTGATAACCGCGGTTTTAAAAGCTTGTGGGACATAGCCACATTGTATGGATGCGTTTATTATATTTACGATAGGCTCAATTATCAAAGGAAGTATGTCTTTGAAGAGCCATGTCGGGACTGCGTCTAACATGCAAGTTGAGGCTTTTGAGGATGTGACCACAGAGATCACCTCTGCTTGGCTCACAGCCATGAATTTATCGAGGCCCACTGAAGAGTCTAAGTGGGAAGTCACGTATGCCGCTTCAGCCTGTCCACTACCAACAGCCGGAGTAACCTCCTCCAGTTTGTCACGGATGGATGTAATTTTATTATTAAAGAAGTGGAGAAAGTCGACACTGCTCAGTGAGCTTGGAATTTTAGGCTCGATTGCGCTATGGCAGTTTGTGAGTTTAGCGACGGTGCTAAACAAAAATCTACTGTTATTTTTATTCGCTTCTATTAAAGTTGAATAGTATTGAGTTCGAGCCCTGCGAAGGGCATTCTTATAGTTTCGGAGACCTGCTTTCCACTCCCTGTGGACAGGCTCCGAGTGGGAGTGGCGATATAGCCTCTCCAATTTTCTGACGTCCTGTTTTAAAGTGTGGAGTTGAACACTGTACCAGGGCGACGATGATCTAATCCTAATAGTTTTCTGTTTTAAAGGAGCTGCTGCATTTAATGCAGATTTTAAAGACTCCATGGTGTTGTCCACCGTTTGGTCAATGACTGAGGGACTGCAGCAGCTGTGAACAGGTTCACCTGCAGCAGTATTCAACATAGGCTGTAGTAGTTCTTTGAACCTTGTGATAGATTTATCATTTAAGGTTCTTTTCATTATGGTTTTATCTTGCGGGACAGGAAAGTCCTCCAAATCGAGATCAAACGTGATCAAGAAATGGTCAGACAGCAACGAGCTTTGACGCTGGATGTCAACATTGGAGACATCACAGCCGTAGGTCAGGACAAGGTCCAAGGTGTGGTTATGAATGTGAGTAGGTTCCTCAACATTCTGAGTAAAACCAACACCATCTAGTACGGCGCTGAAAGCTTTGTTTAAGCTGTCAGTGCTGTCGTCCACATGTATATTGAAGTCTCCAGTTATAACTATGTTTTCCCATTCAAAAACTAGGTTTGAAATGAAGTCCGAGAATTCTGTTAGGAACTCGCTGTAAGGACCAGGAGGTCGGTATAAAACTATAAATAGCACCGCTTTTTGTTTTCTCCACCCAGGACAGGTGATTGAAAGTGTTAAGTTTTCAAACGAGTGAAAAGCATTGTTGGTTTTGGGACTAAGAACTAAGTTGGTGTGTGATATAATCGCAACACCACCGCCGCGACCTGTAGTTCTCGCTTTCTGGTAGTTAACATGCGTCGGAGGAGTGCACTCATTCAATCTAACGTAGTCGTCCTGTTGGAGCCAAGTCTCCGAGAGCGCAAACAAATCCAAGCCCTTGTCTATAATAAGTTCGTTTATGAGAAGCGATTTAGACGAGATTGATCTGACGTTCATTAAACCACATTTAACAACCCTACTGTTAGAACTATTTCTGTCTGTCTGAACTTTTATTAAGTTACTGTGTCTGACACCCAGGTCAGATTTCCTCGCATATAGTGCTTTAGACTTCAAGCGAGGAACACACACAGTTTCAATCTGACTAGGTTCTGAGGCTAGTAACTGAGCACACACAGGCACACACACACATGCACACACAGTTTCAATCTGACTAGCTTCTGAGGCTAGTAACTGAACAGTTACTGAACAGTAATAAAATACACAGATGTTTCTTTTTAACCTGAGATGCAACATTTTACAAACTTTAGATCAACAAAAATAACTGAATAAAGTGTATAAAACACTGAGCACAAAACCAACCAATGAAGCTGTAAAATGTATAAACTTGGGATATGCAATTTGATAGCTGTTAATAACTGTTTAAACATGTTACTATGTGGAAAAGGTATTTGGTTTTTACACTAGTAAGATGGCATTGTTATCACTGTGACTCATTTCAATAGTATACTTTGGTCTTCCTCAGAAGCATCTGCTGACGTACCTTATCAACTTGGCACAGTCAACCTGTTGTGGCCCCTGTGGGTGTATGGAGTACTGGGCCGACCGATTCCTCTGCTGGCCAGTGGTTGCTGGAGAAAGTGCCATGTTTGAGAGTTGGAAGGCACCCTCGTCTCAATTCAGTGACTGCGTCACGTTTCTTGATTTCTATTGCTTCTTGGATCCAGCGTTCGTATTTATTGGATTTATTTATTTATTTATTTGTATTTATTGCAGATTAAGTTGCCCTGGTTAGTCTAGTTCGGTGTATTTCTTGCAGAGAATAATTTGAAATCGGCAATATCAGATCAATGCAAAAGCAATAACAATCTAATGGACTGAGACAACACAAGAATCAGCAATCAGAATCAGAACTCATCTGTTAGAGCCATTTTTGCCTTGTTTTCTTTTGCTGCCTCCTGCCACTGTGTGGCGCCACCTCAATGCTATGCCCTATATAAGTGGGGCACTAATTATGTACAGGTGTTGTAGTGTGGAGGCAAACATCTTTTTACCGTCGTCTGTCACCTCTGTTAAAGTGTGTTTGGATAGCAATAAAGACTTGTGGAACACAGTATTTGGCCTATTTCATGGTGAGAGACACGCGTCCGAGACGCCATCAAACACTACATCCTACAGCGCGGCTTTCTGGAGAGGAGTGGACCCACGACTACCGTGGCGGTGACTCGTTGTCACAGGGGCGCGGCAAACCGGCGGACTGTCGGCAGGGAAGGAGAAAGAGGGCGAAAGTACTGGAGAGAGCACCGGCGTCCTCTACCACCAGCGCGGGCGAGGGAAGACTCGGCGTGCAAACTGTTCTGCAGCGGATCGGACCGCGGAGGAGCTCAGCACCGCGTTTGGAGGAGCTCAGCACCGCGTTTGGAGAAGGCTACGCGTGGTGAGCAGTTTCGATTTCTGTGTGCGACATAATGGCGCACAGACAACACATTTGGGAACGGGACACTGTAAAGAACAACACTGTAAACAATGTGCACAAGGGACAACATAAAACTGACAAAGACACAAGGAGCTATGAAAGAACACGTCAGAGCAGTGTAATAAAATTGAAAGCTTCAGCTGCTGCAGCTTTGATAAAATAAAAGCTAAGCAGGCTGCACTTTTAGTTGAAACTGCATTTTTAGAGGAAAAGCATGCACTGGAAGTAAAGCATCTAGCCATCAAGAGAAGATTGGAAGAGCTGGAGCTTGAATCTAAATTGGCTGAAGTAACAGCAAAACTTGCAGTGTTAAATTCGTCAAAGAAAAAAAAAAAATCTTTTCCAATAGAGCCTAAGGTGCACACTCAAGTCCCAACCACAAATGTCCCTGCAGATGTGAAAAACGGAGGCTGGTGATTACTGGGATGGAATTAACTGGGAGCCACCAGTTTATGTACCCACTTTGGTGGGTTCGCTTGAGCCAACTGGCACCGATGATGACTTGGAGCCACCTGTTTACATTCCTACTTTGGTGGATGTGCTTGAGCAAACAGTGGCCGGAAGCGCCACTGACATGGTGAACTGTTCACCTTCACCAGTGTCTCAGGAGGACCCTGTGATCTCCCTTGTGAACATTACAGCACTAAGTGACACTGGTTCATGTTCACAAGAACCTTTTGAAAAGATGGACAGTAGTACGGAGGATGAGGAACAGGAAAAGTCAGCTGTTCCTGTCTTTTTGACCGCCTTGCAGCCTGTATTGGGAGGCCTGCTGCAGCAGAAGCTGCCTTGCAGTGGTCCAGACATGGTCACAGCAGGCCACACCAGGGTTGTTCCACAATGGGATGGTGAACACAAAGATAATGTTTGTGTAAAAAGCACTAATGTTGATTATGTTATTGTGATCTGTCTTTGGATTCCCTTTGTATTTTCAGCCTGCAAAATGTTTGAGCTAAAGTTGAGAAAAGCTTTCAAAAGAAAGCGCTGGAAATATTTTTGAATAATTAAACTTAACAGGATGGATATTAAATGCTAAATGTATAATTTGTCTATTGAACTATGGTTTTGCATATATGGACCTTGTAATTGTGATTTGATAAGTTTCACAATTGGGACACATTTAAGTTAAAGTATGAGATACACTGCCTCTGCATTATGATGTAATGCAAACCTGCGCATGCGCTTCTCACTGAAGCAAATCAAGATGGCAGACGTTAAGTCCGTGAATTGCTTTAAAAATGTAAATACGAACACATGAAGACACACATGTCACTTTTAATGCAATTTGAGGAGGGGTTTTAAGAGTCATTGCTTTGTGTGAAGTTTGGTTTAAGCAATCAACTGCTGTCAAACCACACTGCTACTGTGTGATAGCATTCCCTCTTGTCAAGTTGAACTGCCACTAACTCGACAACTAATATCCTACAAACGGTCTGATAATGGACATAAAATACAAGATCTAACCAAATTGCAAGCTAACAGCTGTTGAGTTAACCACAGGATGCGTCATCAGCCAACGTCCTGCGGCAGCTTAACTCGACAGGAAAGGTGTTGCAATCACACAGCAGTTGACTGCTTAAACATCTGCTTAAAACATCTCACCTAAAATTGCATTAAAAGTGACATGTGTGTCTTAATTTGTTCATATATAAACTCTTAAAGCAATTCACAGACTTTAAGTCCACCATCTTGGTTCACTCCATCTTCAGTGAGAAGCGCATGCGCAGGTTTGCATTACATCATAAACAGCTGAGGCAGTGTATCTCCCCAGTGCAAACCGACGTTACACCTGCGCAGTTAGCCCAGTACTACACAGGTTGGCTGTGCCTGGGAGGAGCAGCTGGTACGGCACGTCATGTGATGTCACGAGACGCTTCTGAGGAACATTTCAAAGTAGAAATATGTGAGAACATTGGGCCTCATTCACGAATAACTTCGTAAGAAACTTCTCAAATTTCTTCTCAAGTTGTCCTTAAGTAGATTTCTAAGAAGTCCCTACGTGGGATTCATCAACGCACTCGTAAGCCGCTGAATTGTTCGCAGCTGTTCTCTTAGATTGATGAATCCCATTTCCTCGTAAGTAGAGCGTGCGTGCCGGGTGCTTCATTAGCATAGGTACTTAGCATAAGTAACCGCCCATTAATGCCCATAAAAGGGACTGCAGGGCCGTGTGCAAACAGCAACAGGCCTAAAGCAAAGAGTTTGGATCCAGGAGCATGCAGCACGGACCCGTATGGAGAGACCAGTGCAGACCCATCTAGATCCATGGGAGAGACCAGTGCAGACCCGGAGAGACCAGTGCAGACCCGTATAGATCCATGGGAGAGACCAGTGCAGACCCGTATAGATCCATAGGAGAGACCAGTGCAGACCCGTATAGATCCATAGGAGAAACCAGCGCAGAGACTCAGCGCGGACCCAGTAACCTCCTGCAGCAGCAGTATATATGCCGTTGTTCTGTGGCCCGTGGATAAAGAAATGCCCCCAATAAATAGGAAGGGGTCACTAATACACGGCAAGATTTCCAATGTATTTGATAAAGCGTTGGCACATTTCATTTCAAAATGAATTAAAAAGTAGGCCAGATCTGCAGTGAAAAAGGCGGTATATAAATAAAGATTACTAATAAAGATTACTACAAATAAATAAATACATACATCGATATGACGGACATATCACTGGAATGTTGTATTTTTATTAAACTTCACCAAAGAGGACAACCCCGGCGTGTGAACATGTCGGCACTGAATGCGTACGAGTGCTCCTGAGGACTCGTAGGATTTGTACTTGCCCAAGAGAAATTCTGGTTACGAGAAAAATTCGTGAATGCCACTTTCTTCGTAAAAACCTCGTAAGTAGGATTTACGTACAAATCTGTTCCTAAGAACCGTTCGTGAATGAGGCCCATTGACTTAACTGTTGAGAATATAAAATACGGTACATCAATTGAAATTTGAACTTAACATTGTTTCGCAGTGTTTTTCCATTAACCTTAATTAGTAAAAGCTCCATAAAAACTGAAAAAATTCAATATTCTCAAATATTTCACAGCTTGACACTGAGGCTGAGCGCTATGCGCATCTTTCTCTTTGGCCCTATCTCCATAAATAACTTCTGTAGTGCTTCAAACGTGTGTTTCAGCTCACCTGGATAGCTTAGGTTCAGCACATACATTAGACAAAACAGCATGGCACATGTAAGTCCACTGACGTCCTTGACGGAGTTAAAGTCCTGAACATGTTGCCAACACCAATCTCATGTGATTGAAGAGAATCATCCTCTTCCATGAAGACAAACATTGAATCCATTGATGCACGAACAAGCTCCATCTCCGCTTCCACCCAGTGAACAACCTGAGGAAATACAAGTTACTATAATGTACTGGCAAGGAATGCTTACAGGGTCCCAAAATTTTGTTTTCAAATTTACTGTAGTTGGACATTTTTTGGCTACTTGGATGTCAAAGTGACATCCATTGTGGTTTAACTCGTCGTGTGCCTTTGACGCACTAGTATGTCAAAGCAAATAGAAAGGTTGTGTGTCATTGATGCATCAATGCGCCAATTGCGTTTTCCGCTATTTTCATGTTCCCAGATGTCTATTATATTTAATATGTATGGGGATTCGCTTTAGAGGATATTTTATCCAGCCAGCAGGTGGCAGCAGCGCTCTCTGGATGTTTTGATAACAAGATGCACTTGTTAGCCTGGCTCTGCCAGACCCTTGTAGTTCCGCCATGCTCCACCAAAGGCGTTTGGCTGAACCACATGGGTCTGGTATCGACGCCATAGCGAACGCCTTCCCCAGATTATTTTTTAATCGACCAATCAGGATTGCCGGTGTTACGTGGGGTTTGCACTGCCTTCTCAAGCTTCTCTCATGCAGCAGCGAGAGGAATCCAAGATGGCGGACGTAAAGTCCGCGAATCTTTTTAAAAGCGTAAATACGATCGAATTAAGACACGGACGTCACTTTTAATGCAATTTGAGGCGAGATGTAGATGGTTCTATGTTGATATATGTGTGTTTTAAGAGTCAAATGTTCCTGTAAAGTTTGGTTGAAGCACTGGTTCAGTGCTTCACGCTATGCAGCAGGGTTGCCAGGTTTGGTGGTTCCCGCATATTTTTTTTCCAAGAGACTTGTAGGTATTAAATAAACAGAAAGACAATAAACAGAATCATGATAGCCATGAAAGTTGATTACATTACGTTTTTCGCCAAAAAATCATTCTGAGTGTTTTTTTTTTGCGTGGGTATTCTCGCGGATTTTGGGTTGGAAAATCTTGCTGGGATTTGGCAACCTATGGGAGCCGTGTGCTTCGATGTGAGTGGTTGAAAGCAGACCTTATTCAAGATAACGGACAAGTGGTCTATCCAATCACATACAAGGATTTTTTTTACAAGGCCCTGCCTTCTGAAATCCAACCACTATGGCTCAGTACCAGACTCATGTGTGAAGTGCAGCGAACTACATGGGTCTGGTGAGAGTCAGGCTAGCACTTGTTGCATCAAGGCTCTAAACACACAAATTAGGCCAGTGTTGGTAAGACTCCAAATTAATTGACAATTTTTGCCCCTCTTGATATTACCTTAAGCTAATTCAGCTAATCAGACAAAGCATGATATAGATCCCTTTGTGACATTTTAGAAACAAATATTTTGTAAAACCATTTTAATGTAATTCTGCAGTCATTATAGAATGATCTTAATTTCAGTAATCATTAGTTGTGAAATCCATTAACTTGTTACGGCCCCCACAAAAACATTACCCATAATGAACACTGATAACCTGACCTCACATGTCGTGCATCTGTGCAATAACGAATTAATGTCAGAATGTGCAATATGAAACCACATGTTTAGACTGTCATTCTACTGAGTCACTTTGTCCCATGCATGCATGCAGCCAACATGTACAGATGTATACATAAAACCACATTTCTTGCACAAGAG